GTCATCCGATCTGTTAAAGGTCCAGTGTGTAACATTTAGGAGGATCTATTAGCAGAAATGGAATATAATATTCATAGGTATGTTTCCATTAGTTTATAATCACCTGAAAATTGGAGTTATTGTGTTCTTGTTACCTTTTTGAATGAGCCATTTTTATCTACGGAGGCCACTATGTTGAACCACCATGTTTCTACAGTAGCCCTGAAAGGACAAACCAAACACTGGCTCTAGATATGGCTGTTCACATTGTCGAGGCGAGAGGGTTGTAATCTTAAACTACACTGCTAATCCGACACACAGCTCATTTAAATAAGATGTAAAATGTCTGGGAAAAGATGACAGCACCTCGCCTAATGTGGTGACTGACATTTTAGGAAGGGCTCTGTTAAATATTTCAGTTTCATTTTTAGATAAGTAGGTAGTTAACCTTTGCCATAAAACTGTAAATGCTTAGGTAATGGTTAGGATATGGTTTCACTACGTGTATGGGACCTAACTTTATAGCAGTGTTCTCACTTAAGATATACCTCTTAATTCTTTCTGTGCATTTGTGTTTATATTATTATTAAAAGGTGAATTATTAATCACTCACACATAAAATTTTTCCTTTTGTCTGTCTTCTAGAAATGCCTGACCTTGAGTAGATGAATATGGATGCTGCCTCAGTAGTAAACAAAGTGAGTTATAAGTCTGTTGAAGAGAGACAAGACAATGGTTGGCAGCCATGTTGGAGAAGAAACCTCATCTCTCTACTCAGTTTCCAAAGTGAAATCCCTCAAGGGAGTGAACAGGGAGTGACTGTTGGATACAGACGTGCACAGAGATCCATAGCGACATACAGTGCTGTGCTTTGCTGTTCTGTTCTGCATGGACAATTATGTTCAAATGAAAATGTTATTGTTCATTGACTTAAATGACTGTAATGGGATGTTCTGATGTCTTACACCTTCTCTCTCTCTTTTTTTTTTTTTTGCGATGTCAGGTTATGTATTAAACATTGTGATTTCTAATGAAGAAAAAAAATTCAAAATGCATATTTTCCAAAAAAAATAGATTTTTTTAATGACAGATTTCCCCTTTAATGTTTGTATTGTAAATTGCACTTATTTTGTTTGTTAATTTAAAAAAGCAGGAGTACTGCTTGAAATGGGTTTTCCAGTGTATGCCAACATCTGCAGATATTTAACAATTTCATTTTTTAAAACATTTCAGCATTTAAAATAAACATATGTTTGTGCAACTTACAACTTGTGTTGAGATTATGGTATTGGAGGGGTACAATGTTTGCATGTAGTCATATCTTTGCAAAGGTGTGTTTGTTTCTCCATGCCAGTGTATAAAACATTGCACATTGTAGCAAGTACAAAAATACATTTTCTTCCAGAGGTGAGTGCAGAAATCCTTTGTAGGCTACTAAGAGTTTCCCAAATAGTTTAAAACTGCAGTAGGTAACTTATTTAAAACATTACTTTTTGTCATATTTGCTGAAACGTTACCTATATCTTGACAGTAGTACATGAGACACAATCAGTGAATAAAACCGGTTCCTCTGGCTCTTCCTTTTCCTCTTAAAGGCGTTTGTGTAAACAATCAAAGCTGAGAAAGATAGCTGATTGTTGAGTCTTATTTCCATGTTTGCAAGTACCGACAATGCACATGAGACTCAGCAATTAATCACCTTCAAGCCACCAACTTAAAGTGTCTTTCCATGTTTCTTGGCTATGATTGTTATTTTTCCTGTTGTCTGAGGCATGTTCTTGCAAATTCAATAAGAAGTGCTAAAATGGGTCAGACGAACCTGTTTTTTCCACAGATTATTTGTCTCGTGTACTACTGTCAGGATAAAGTAGGATAAACGTTTCAGCAAATGTAACAAAAGTGATTTTTAGAAAAGTTAAATAATACCAGTTATAAATGTTTGTCAGTCAGATATACTAGAAGTATGCTTTGGAGGCTTGTGTGTTTAACACTTTTGCATTTGTCTTGTGGGATTTTGGGTTTCTAATAAACTGTTTCAGACCATTGAATACGAGGCCTAGTATTAAAGCGTCACTTTTTCCAAGTTCCAAAAAAGCAAACTAATCAATGAAGTTTAGACAGAATACACTGAGAGATTATTATTTATTAGTACTGTGGGAGTATGAGCTCAGTAGTGGTGGAGGAAGTACTAGTACTACTTTAGATTTAAACAAGTACTAGTACTCAAAATATGATAAAATAATGTTTATTATATCATCAGACTAGAATTATTGGACTAAAGTATAACAAAACATAATTTATGTGTGGATTTTATGTTTTATTAATCGGAATCTAGTGTTGTAAGTACGATATTTCCCTCTGAAATGCATTGGAATTAAAGAAACTAGCAGAAAATAGAAATACTCAGGTACAAGTACTTCAAAGTTGTACTGAAGTATGTCTTATGTACTTAATTACTCTCCAACACTGGGTCTAAGTATCAGAGTTTATAGGAAAGGTTCACCAAGTCGGCCTTAAAACAACACTGACATAATTCTTTCACTCTACGTTTGGGTTTACGGAGAGTAAAATAATTAGTAAACAGTTCCAATGTGAGTGATGGGGAATAAAATCATTGTTCTGTGCAAAAATGTATTTTAAAGTTCAGTTTAAGATTAAATGAGGCAAGAAGTCAAACAAATCAAGTGGTTATCTTCCAAAGCTACAGTTCCTCTCTTTCCCCTGACAGCGTTTCCTTGCTTAGCTGCAGCGGAGCAATAACAGTTACCCAAAGAGGGAATTTTGCACGCACACAAGAAAAAGACTCACATTAGCTTGTGTTAACACATTAGTGGGTATTTTGGAATTTGCTTCTTACATTGGAATTGTGTGGGAAGGAGTGTCTTCATAGCCACTGTTGAAAGGAGGAACAGTTACAGTGACTAATAGCTCTTTCAGTTTCACATATGGGCATGAGAATATTGTATAAAGAGACTTGAACAAATTTTAACCTTTCCTATTCCTGTGAAAATGTGAAATGTCACTTTGTAACCACTGTGTAGTGCTAATGAGCGCTCCACTCTCACTTCTCTCTCACACTACAGGGCATTTCAGGGGATTCCCATTTTCTCTGTACTTTTATTCTGAGTGCAAAAACGGGAAATTGAAGCCTGAAATTCCTTTATGCTTTACATTTCTAATGTAAATGATTTATTGTAATAATTATTGTCTGTGTGTGATTTCTCAGTGAAACAGCAGTACAAACCTTCCTCACTGTCACAGAAGTAGTTATTACCAAAGATGCTTGATCTCTAGTTTCTGTGATGTTTGAATTTTTTGTTTTATAATTCATACTATATGTTTTATTCCTTCATCTTGTGTGTCATGCGACACATGTTTTCACTACTCTGGTGAGTGCAGGCTTCTACTCCAGCGTGAGATGTTTAGGGGCTGCCTGTTATTATGTATGTGTCAGCAGTCTGGACTGAGGGAACAGGAAAACACAATGCAAGCACCTTTTCAACACCCTCCCCTGTAAAAACTAAACTGTGGGCTTAAACCCACAAAAGGTGGCTTACCACTGATGGAGGGAGTCATGAGAAGGACATAATACTCATCACAATAGAAGGGCACCAACTAGCAAACTAATAAACTGTCAGAATTAGGACAACAGGATCAACACTATTTTTAGTGGATTTTTTTTTGAAGTTTTTTCTTCCAGCAACAACCATCGGTGTTCATCATATGATGGTGGTAGATTTTGTTCATCATACATTTCATGTTTTGAATGTTGACTGCAGCTTTGAGGTTGACAAAGCTGCAAATGGATTTGAGAAATTACACTTTACAGTATTTGTAAAACACAGACGACTTCCAAAGTGTCCAACATGCATTGAGACATAAAAACAATATTTCTGCAGTTTCCATTGCAGCACAACTCTGTGGAGAGTGAGCACAGAGGCTCAAATAGATATACATATGTACTATATATATAGCCACACTGGCCCGTGGAATAGGGAACTCACAGATTCAACAGTGACAGAAAAAAGACAAACAGATCATAGAAACCAGCAGAAACTGTTACTGCCAGCGTTTTGTTTCCATGCATGAAAGGAGAAAAGCAGTGAGCTCAGCATAATCCTTTCAGAAAGGCTGCGGTTGTCCCTCTGGCTGCCCTGGTCAGCATGATGCTCCAGTGCAGAAGCTCAATGCCAAGCCTGCTCTCCCCTCTTCCTCTCCAACCGTGGATTTTCCACCGCTTTATCCAACCTGAGCCTCCAAACCCGCCCAGCATACAATGTAAAACTGTGCCTAATCAGTTCTGCTGCCACAAACCTAATTTGCACCAATTCAGAGCACAATTGGAGAAATTGAGAAATTGCTCGTGCTTTGGTGATCGCAGCTATGATTAGGTTGAATGTAAACTGTTGATTGTACATTACAGAGAAAAACAATGACAGCAAGCTGAGGGAAAGGTAGACATTGCAATGACATGAATTATATGCTTGTAAAAATACCTAAATTATTCTAAACCAAGCAAAACTCCACTGCACTCCACTTCTACCAGCTCACAGGTTCTTCCCACAACATACCCACTGCTTTTCTATTTTCATGTTTGAAGGTCAGGGCTGTTTCTCTTGGGGGCTTTTCAGTCAGTGGTGTTATGAATGGGGTTTTCTACCACTGTGTTTGCATTAATGCTTCAACCAGGTTGTTGGTGGTACTCAGTTACTAGTTGTCCACATCCTCCAGTGGGGAAATATAAGAAAAGCCTTCTATGTTTTACTTATTTCTGAGCTGCAAGACACAAAATTTCAAAAGCAAACTAACTTGCTGCAGTATTTTGAGAGCTTTCCTGCCTAAATAAGTAATTATCAAAGTCCTATATTATTAAACTTGCAACCCATTATTCCAGATTCAGAGTCATTTCTACAATGAGCAGACAGACGGGGGTCGAGGCAGGAGAAGGGTTAAATGATTTTGTTTTGATTTGTAGTATTGTGCTCTGGCCCCTCCCTTGGGCTCAGTGGGGCTGCTGTGGACCTGGGGTGTTATAAAAAGGCCTCTGAGCTCCCCCTGCTCTGGTAAAGAGGCTGAATGTCTGCAGGACATGCTTAACGTTTGTCTATCCATGTTCTTTTACTAACAACCAGCAGGGTTGGCACATAGATGCACAGAGACTGGCGTATTGCTCCACTCAGGAGCTCTCTATGACAGAAATTCAGAAGGCAGAGCAGCAGATTGTTTACAGTTGCATGAGAGTTAGATGTTGAGCAGTTTACGTGTTGTTGCATTTAGCTTTAGAGACGCAGTTTCTGTTTGAGGGCAAATTTTTTGTCATTTGGTCTGTGTTTTTTGGTTTAAAACACAGTCTTTATTGTGGAGAAATAGCTTCTCCTTTTGTCAATTAGTTTTTCTGTTGACTTTTCATCCCTCCATCGCTTAGAGGTTGCTTTTTGATCTTTTGCCACCATGTGGGAGTTCAGGTCCATGTCTTTTTGGCGGGCGGTGTTTGCTGAGTTCTATGGCACCATGTTCTTTGTATTCTTTGGGCTGGGGGCAGCCCTCCGCTGGACCACTGGGCCCCATAATGTCCTCCATGTTGCCTTCTGCTTTGGGCTGGCGGCTGCCACCCTCATCCAGTCCATCGGCCACATCAGTGGAGGACACATCAACCCAGCTGTTACCTTTGCCTACCTGATTGGCTCCCAGATGTCCCTGTTCCGTGCCTTCTTCTACATCGTGGCCCAGTGTCTCGGAGCACTTGCTGGTGCTGCCGTGCTCTACGGTGTCACACCCAACAACATGAGGGGAAATCTAGCACTCAACACGGTAAGGTTACCTGCCTGTCACTGAAATTCTACATCCACAGCTACAAGTGAGCAGACTGGCTCTTTCTCCTGTATTACAAATGTTACATTTCAGTTGTTTTTTTTTTACATACACTCAAGGTTTAATATGAAGATACTTAACTTTAAATGACATATAACATGCATACTGTATGTACACAATGTACACAAGTGCCAATTCTGCCTAAAAGGCAATATAGATCTAAAACCTGACATTAAGGTCATTTTAAGGGAAAAATTACAACATGTATGTATGTATAAAACCTCATTTCATCACTCTTTCTTTTTCCCTCCCCTCTTTCAGCTGCAGCCAGGCATTAGCCTGGGCATGGCCACCACCATGGAGGTCTTCCTCACCCTGCAGCTTGTCGTCTGCATCTTTGCTGTGACTGATGAAAGGCGCAATGGACGCCTGGGCTCTGCTGCCCTGGCCATTGGCTTCTCAGTGCTCATGGGACATCTTCTTGGGGTAAGAACCAACCAGGGTGATCTAGAAATTTTAATGGGCTCACTGGGTTCATACAAAGATCTGACCGTTGTATCATATACACTTTTACAGTCTTAACCCTGAACTGTCCTCTCTGTCTTTGACTTAGATGTACTACACTGGAGCAGGAATGAACCCAGCAAGGTCCTTCGCTCCTGCTGTCCTGGTCAGGAATTTTGTCAACCACTGGGTAAGATGATCACATCTGTAAATCTTGTTTACACTACAATCCACAATAGTGTGACACCTTCAGACTCACTAACACATTCTGCTCTTTGTCTTTTTCTGTTCTTTCAGGTGTACTGGGTGGGACCCATGATTGGTGGTGCCATGGGGGCTCTGCTGTATGACTTTATGCTGTTCCCCCGTATGCGCGGTCTCTCCGAGAGGCTCGCCACACTCAAGGGCACCCGGCCCCCAGAGGCTGAGGGCCAGCAGGAGACCAGAGGAGAGCCCATCGAGCTCAAGACACAGGCCCTATAAGCCTGGAGAAGAAGATTGGCTTTCTGACCCCCATTCCTTACCCCTCACCCCTCAATCTTCACCCTCAGTTCCTGGTCCATCCTCAGCCCACAAAGCATTTCTGCACACATACCTCCTCCACGCCTCCACACATGCTAACACAGATCCCAAACACTTTTGTTATCCTTGTTCTGCATCCACAACTGGACCTACTGAATTACAGTGAAGGGGCAACCACAGCCCTCACCATCTCGCCTGATTTCACCTCTACCCATCCTTCCTCCTCCTCCTCCTCCTGTCTCCTCCTCCTCCTCCTCCTCCTCCTCCTCCTTCTCCTCCTCCCCCTTGGACTGCAGGACAAAGATGGAGGGTTAGAAGAAGACTTGCCACTGAAGGAAGCACCCTGTGCCCTGTGGTGTGGGGAGCCAGTCACTCCTGGCTGACCAGGTGGCTATAACTGCTCAGGACAGGGGCCTCTCTCTCTCTCTCTCTCTCTCTCTCTCTCTCTCTCTCTCTCTATCTCTCTTTCTTTCCCTTTCTCTCTCTGTTTTTCTCCCTATTTTGTAGTCTGCTAGGAGTGAAGCTACAGTAGAGCAGTGGACTTCTGCATGCTTTTCCATTTTGATCCAGTGTGATCTCGCCCTTTGTTTTGTTTTGTTTAATGAACTTTGGGTAAATTACATGTACGTATTGTACTTTACCAGTATTTATTTGGCTCATATTCTTTTTTTTCAGTTGTATGTGTGTGTTTGTGTGTGAGACAGAGAGTGAGTGTGCATGCATGTCTGTGCATGTGTATGCGTGTGTGCTTGTTTTAATTGATCATTTTTATTTTTCATTGCCACAATCCTTTGTCTGTATCATGACTTCCTTCTTTTTTTATCATACAAGCATTTAGGGAAAGATGCAGCCTTTTCCACGCCCTCACTGATACTGAAAAAGTTCTGGAAAACATTTGCAATACAGATTCCACGTTTAGAGTGATCCCCTTTTTATATCCAACGAAAATAACATGCTTTTGAGTCAAAGCCAAATTCATTCAGTTTAGAGTTTGTGTCTCAGCTAGTGAAGCACACACATTCATATTTATATCAAAATAAACACAAAACACAAAACTATCTGGTCTTTTCTGAGCTCAGTCTTCAGAGATACAATTACTTGCAATGGTATAATTGCCACCAAATCTGTTACCCATTGGTCTATAAGTGGGAAATCTGCAGGTTTGTGCCACATTTAGAACTTAAACAGTATTTTTGTTGGGTTACATTTTAAATGATTTTCTGACATGAGCTTTGCTTTGAGAGCAGCGCTTATCACAGATTCATGTACAGGTGTGTGATAGTTGGTTTGCTTTTTACTTTTGCGTGTCTGCCATGGAAAAACAAAGAAAGCAAACCTGACAAGCTGTCATGAGGAGCAAGCGTTTTCTAGTTGAATTGTGTTGTTTGACATGACTGAAGGATCTTTGTTACATCAACTCGAGGTTAGAAATGAAAGAGTGCATGAGGTGTAGTGGCTTGTTGCTGGTGTTGGCAAACACCTGGTGCCTTCTCTTTTCTACGCTGAGCTGGGTGGCTCTTTGGGAGTGAGATAGTTTTATTGGACAAGCCCCTCTCTGATTTTTGGGAGAAGAAAGAAGGTCACCCGTCAGGCGACTGAAATCTTTAGTGTGTTTGTACAGGGTGATAAATGTACACCTTTATTTTCATACAATCTACACAAGAGAGAATTAACTTTGAAGTTGAAGCTCTACATTGGCCTGGTGTCCCCTCTCTCTTCCATCCCTCTTTCATTCACCCTACCTCCTCCCTTTGTTTACGAGGCAGCCATCTTGTTCTGCTCTAATGAGGGGACATCTAAAGCTGCTGGGATGGAGGGGAGGGGACGGGGCACTGAGATAAGTTGAGCATTTTCACAAATTTCACCAGCGCATTGAACCAGGCATGTAAGCTGATTCTCTTTCTGCTTCATCTACATAACCTTTTTTTTCAGTGTGATTTCCCTGGCAGTGGTTGAGTAGAATTTACATTTTAGTGACATGTTGAAATTAGAATTTGTGTTCTAATGGAAAAGCTTTGTGATGTACAGTGTAAAGTTTTCTTTTTTTTTTAAAACACATTTCATGATTGTTGAAACTGGATGGATAGGAAATATAATATGCTAGTTATGCAATGTCTTCTCTTTGGCTGATGGATTATGAAAGTGATGCCAATTATGTTACACACCAATATGCTCTCATTCACTAGACAGCCTTTTTGGTACCAGGCATACCTTCCCAATCACAATGCCACTGATTTATTATTTTTATATGTCAAAAAAATCAGAAAATTCTTATGTTTCCAATCCTTTTTTGTCTGTTTTCTTTAAGACTGGCTGTAGAAATTATAAAATATGGGATTTAAATAGATGGTTCCAGATGAGACAGACCTACAATTGCTCGTGGAAGTAAATCTTAGATGTATACAATCATTATATAATATAAATTATTATATCATATCATTATTATAATTATATACAACATACTCCACTAACGAGAACGAAACCAGGATCCATTAACATAAACATTTGCCAATCAGATGAGGTTATTTCCGTGATACAGCAGGGGAACTCTGCAAGTGCTTGTAGGACATATTCCTCTAGAATTTGCCATAAACACAAAGTTGATTTAAATGACATAAGTAATAATAAGTAAATAAATTCATATTCATATTTTGAGAAAAAGATTTTATTTTTAACCACGGTTGAAAGATTACAAGGATTGTAGTAGTAGCCTCAGAGTGATTTATCTAAAAGTCAATCCACAAGATATAAAAGGTTATCATATGGCAGTTATCATATGGCAAACATACATGCAACATGGTACATCCAACAGAAATGTATTACTACATGCACAACATTGACAGTGATGGTAGGCTTTTTATTCCACACACCACACAACTCTAACAACAGAATACATTTAAATGGCTCATTAATGTTATCTTATCTTAAATTTGAGACTTCTAAAAATTACATCTAAAGGAAGAATTGATATACTGTTGATCATCTATTTTCATTACTCATTTTAATCACTTCAAAGACTGAAGACAGATACAGACCATATCACTGACAGACGACCTGCTTTTTGTGTATGCATTAGAGGATCAAAATAGAGAAATAAAAACTCAATACCATGTAACCAGTAACATTTATGAGTATATACATATAACAGAAAATACACACAATCGAGTCTTTTAAGTAGACAAATATAATATAAGCATTTACCACCACCACCATCGTCACCACTCTTGCCATCTGCTGCATTGTAAGTGTCCTTCAGTGTGGTACAGTTTAATAGTCAATGGTGATGGAAAAGGTTATTATCACTATACCAAGTATTTACCATGCATACTGTGAGATTAAGTGTATAACATACTATTGCTGAGGCTTAGCCAGGCTTGTCAATCACAAGGAATGGTTATATACAACAGGGAAATGCTATTCAAATATTTTTGCCTTATCATGACTAAAACACATGCATCAAGTACAGAGGACAAAATAACCCCAAAAAATAATTTCCAGTAGCTGACAGCCGCTGTCCAGGAGGATCACTCTGTTTGCTTTCATACATGCTTGTTGTTGGAAAATCATTGTAATCTTTATGGTAAATCCCATTTATTATGTATGGAGTATAGTATAAACAGACAATGAAAGAAACCTACCACCAGGTGAGAGCGAGAGAAAAGGCAGGATAACAAGGATGGGCGATGGACAACACTTTTCGTTCTGGTTTGTTCTCAGTTTTTAAAATTAATTCCTGCTTTCGTGCAGCACTAGCTCAACATGTTGAGTCCTAGAGAAATCAAATTTGTCTCCAACAAGTTTTTTACTTGAAAGTAGATGAAGCTGTAACTGGATGATGATAGTGAAGGAAGAAAGTCTGCACAAACCATGGCGCTTTTCTCACATGAAGGTCAGACAGACGAGTTTGGCTCTGGTCTCTATTCGATGTCCAAAAACAACTTCGGTGAGGGGTTTAAATTGAGAATGTCTAAAATATCCATGTTGTTATCTGTGGGACTAGAAGACAGACACACAAACATAATGGCATCTCAGCACTGTGTGAAAGTATTTTTGGAAAAAGCAAACAACATGACAATGGATTTCATGCAGAGACATAAAGATAAAAACCTACATTGTTTCAGAGAAAACAGCAGGGTTTGGACTGAAATCAGGAGACGATGCGGTTTCCATTATATCTTGAGTGATGGACTCCTGCGGGCTGAACTGCTGCTGAAACGGATGCCTGAAAGAAAGAGCAGGATCAGGAGCGCTATCAACATGAACCAGACATTCATTAATGACAAGTAACAGTGTGAGATATAAGCTTTAATCACTTGATCAAAGAAACTAAGAACATAAACCTTTAAATGTCGAGAAATCACTGTGAAATAATTTTAGTGTTTGAAATATCAACACAAATATGCATCACATTAAGTTTTCCTGTTGTGTAGGCAGCAGTAGTTGAGAGTACTCAAGTCAATTAGATTTGCTCTTAAATTTAAACAATTCTGCTGAGCTGCTATTCAGACACATTTTGAGTTGCCTTTGATTTGCTTGGGTATTTTCTTTTTTTTACAAGAGTTTATGAAGAATTTTGCATGTAAACAAAAGTCAATGTCAATAAAGTAAAACTGGAAGAAAGTAGTGTGCCACCAACTACTGCCACATAACCCTTATAGAAAAAACATATATATTTAAACAAGATTCCAAATTCTTCTAAGACACCAAGTGTTTCATACTGAAATACAGTATACACAAAATACAGGATGTTGCCAGATATACCAGAACAATATGTTATCTATCTATTAGGGTGCTATAGGTGAGCATTAGGCCAGATTAAGAATAAAGGCTTTTACTTTCAATAATAACAAAAATACTACTGGTATACTTTAGTGCATTTATTTCAGAGGTAGGACAACAATTATATTGACTACCTCAAGGGTTCCTATGGAAATCCTGGAAGCATGTAAATGTTGCTAGTGGCAGAGGATTTGTTGCTAGCTCATGAAGGGCTAATGACAGGAAGTGAGCTGGGTGGTATGGAAATACAGTGAAAGAGAGAAATGTGACACTTACCGAGAGAAACCATCAGTGTGCGGTTGCATACTAGCAGCAGCGTGTGTGGCTGAGCCAGGTTCACTGCACATACACACACACAAACAGGACATGTTCCACGTGTCATTTTTCTAAATACGACTTGACTTTAAATGCATCAAATTTTATGGTTTATTTGCACAAATAGTTCCTTACGTGCCAACTTTAGTCTGAAGAGACACAGGGATATAACCCCCGATGGGTGACGCTTGAGGCTCTGTTTCACACAAAAGCAGAAAAAACAATACTTCTATTAGCTGTCTGTTCTCACTTGAACTTAACAACATAAAGCAGACTCTGTGCATGAAGACCCTTACCTGAGTAGAATCCTTTGAAAACTTCGTGTTTCGGATATTCAGGATACAGGTGTGTAATGTGGCTGATGTCCCGGATGCGGTCACCAAGGCTACGTATCTCAAGATCTCTCTTGGTGAAGGGCTGGATGTTCTGGATTTTCTGTCCCCCATCTAGGATTTTTTTTTTTTTTAAAGAGTGGCATACTGTTTAACTGTGATCATTATGATCATTATTAGTAGTAGTACTTTAACCTGTGGCGCTTATATCAGATATGAAAGATGTGTTATCAATACTCTACTGGAGTTCAGGAATACTGTAGCTTTAATACATTGCTCAGCCAGGACTATTCACTGCGCACGCACACACATCCCCTGCATGTAGTTAGTGTCACACCCATTCTAAACTAATGTTTCACAGCCATAGCCATAACCAAAGCAAAGCCACAAGCACAGATACAGCAACAGCCACCGCCATGACATTCTGTGGCTACAGCCATAATGACAACTACAGAGAGCTATAATAAAATAAAATATACACAATCAAACTCAAACTGGGTTTACATCAGCACTTACTCTCAGAAGCAGACACATATGCAATGGTGATGCCTCCGATCTCAGAGTCACTAAAGCGAAGCAAAAACGTCCCATTGGGCCTGTCTTTGAGAATCAAGTGTAGATGCTGCTTCCCAATGAAACCAAATATCAGCCTAGTGGAGCAAAACATTACAAACACTCATTGTTAACAGACTGTAGCAGGTTGCTAATATTTATTATGGAAATAGAGGTGGAGTCTCCTTACCCTTGGCTCCAGTAGGTCTTCAGGTGCTTCTTGGTCAGGTCCATCACTCCCTCAAACCACTGCCAGAAAGTGAACGGTCGACCCGGGAGAACTTCCTGTAAGATGGAAAGGCACTGTGAGATTTGAGTATATGCCAGCCCGTGTGAGTCTGCGTGAGACAACATACACCTCTGCGTACCTTATTGAACTGTGCCCAAGAAACCATTATGTTGCTGAAGTCGTCAGCAAAGTCAGGCTTGTCGAATATCTTCTGGGCCAAGAAGTGCTGGTTGTACTGGTCCAGATTGTGATTTGTCTGGACCTCAGCGGTAAATTTACTGTTGAGAGTGCTGTACATCATCCTCCAGGGCACGCGCTCAGGCACCACAAACGGCACTCTGTCCTAATGACAACAACAAAGAGCCAGATGAGGCAAAAACACTAATATGCATTTACAATAATGTCAGGGGAAGAGAGAAAAAAACTGGGAAGAGAAAAACAAAGCACAAATACACAAGCATCATGAATGTTTATTGTAGACATTGTTAATTCTGTTTGAGTGGTTAGGGATTTTAATTTCTATTTGTTTCATACAGACCAAATCCGACGATTTCCACTTGGTTTGATGAATAAAGAGAGACAAACAGGAACCCATCCACACAGAGATAAACGTGACTGTTATCTGGCACACAGTCTTTATCAAAAAAATCAATAGACCTTTTTCACAGCAGATATTACACAATCGCAGTTGTAAATGACAATATAAAAAGAGAATTGTGCCTCACATGGCTTACGAAATGTGAGGTCAGTCATTCTGGAGAAAGATGCCTGATTGTTGAGGCACATTGGGCTAAATGGTAAACCAGCAATGTGTGCTCCCATTTGGGTTGCCTTGGCATCAGTATTTGATGACAAAAAAATGAGACTCAACAATCAACAATCTTTTTTTCAGAATGACTGACCCCACTTCTTTGTGCGTTTCCTACTATACCCAGTCATAATGTCTGCTGGCTGTAGCTACATGTATGAGACTCTATTCCTTTAAAGAAATATTTAAAAAAATGTTTATGTCCTGTGTTAAATCTATGCACTGGTCTGCTTATCATACTACATTGTACTAAAATGTATCCTAGTTCAGATACCATCTGTGAATGGTGCATTTCATATGTTTTGGCAATGTTCTAAATTATAACATTTATAGATCTCTATATTTAAAACTCTATCAGATATGTTTGAACAGCTGATACAACCGTAACATTTGGGATCTGAGGTGAGAATAGCCACATTGGTGAAGCCAAACATTTGGTTACAACCTTTGCAACACTACTGGCACATACTGTTGGTAACATGTATTGAAAAACCCACAACCCTCTATTCACACTCAGAGGTTAAGGGATGTTATGCAGCAACTTAAAGTAGAGAAGCTTGAGGAATCCAGTTGGCTGAATGGTTAAGGCACATACCAAAAAACCGCAATGGGCCCAGACTGATTTCTTACAGGCATCAAATAATGCCAATAATGCCAAAAAAAAACAAGAGTTAAGCTCAGGTATGTGCTTTGTGTCAGATCTTCCTGAATCATGGCTCTAAACTGTGAAATATACACTGTAATGATCTAATTCATCATTATCTGCAAAAACATATTGTAATAAAGCTTTGGTGAAAGTTAAATAAAGGTCTTGTTGTTCCTTTATTCCTTTATTGGTGAATGTCTGCTATTTCCTCCTGTTCTATTGAACATTGGAACACTTCCAATTCATGTCTCCTCTTTTAAATACCTATGTTAATCTGTCTACACTGTCTTTTTCTGTCGTACTGTCGTCCCTGAATTTTCAGGTCTGTTCCACACCATGAATTACTGTCTTTCATATATGCAAGTTGATACTATAATTATCTGCTGCATATCAGTAGGTTTATGGGTTGAAATGTATCTACCTCAGTTCACCAGATAATATGATCCCTGCAATGGATGAAAGAGCCTTTCTTTGTGAATAACCACACAGCCCAAAACATTAACACACACACACACACCAACAACAAGAACAACATACACACATCAACGTCTAAAACGTCAACGTTTTTGTTTCCTGATATTTTCTTGATTTTATGAATTTTATTAACTTTTTTTTTACTCTACTACTACTCTACTGTACTCACTTTTGACGTGAGTCTCTGGGGGTTTGGGAGGAGTTCATCATGGTCAGTCCCCTGTAGCTGCAGTGCTGAGATTGGTGTGTGCCTCAAGTGATGAGGTTAAACACTTTAGATTCCAATTCCGTACATACTCACATATAGTAGACTCAGAGTCTGAGGGAAATACCGTTCTTTTTTAGTTGGCTTATTGAACCTATTATTAAGGAGTTATTAAGGGTCCAAACTACAGGGGAACTAAGGGGGGCTTGGCTCCTCTTAATAAGACTTGAGCTCTGCTGAAAACATAATTTGTGAGCTTTTAATGGGTCTCTAAAATATTGATAATGTGCTATTTTTGTCATGCTTTTTATTAGTATGGATCATACATAAATTATTGATATTATTATTTATGATATTATTGATGTATAATTCATGCATGAGGGTGATTGATCATTAACTCACTTGCCATCACCAAGTGCAATATCATAAACTTCACTCACTTTAGCTCAACGGGTTAGGTAGATTAGATCTGGTGAGTGACCCTCACATTTGATGTCTTAATAGTACCAAGAAATCTTTGTGCTCATCTGTATGTGATGGGTAACTCGCTGTTAATCAGGACTCGACCCCTTCTAGGCAACCTGGTGTGTTCTGTTTTTGATTTAATGCTCATACATTTGTGTCTGTGTGTATAGGCTGTTTTGCTATTTGACCTGTCCATGTCTTATTTGTGTGATGAACTACAGAATATATCCAACTCTGCAGAGTAAACTGTGCCATGCTTTAGTAATGTCTGAACTGTGATGTTTGGTTTTGACACCTGTGTGGAGGTTTGATGTGTCATTAACTAATTATTATAGTTGTTGCAGCAATGAATGTTTCTTTGCAACAAGAGTCACAGTCAGTCCTCTCTTTGAGGGCCCACATGAACACACCCCATATAAAAAGTTAGCTCCCTCTCTCAAAAGCCATGCTATAGTTTGCACACTAATAATATCAAAACAACAACTGCTCTAGAAGGTAAACCTCTATATGGCTTTTATTTCATGATGAATGAAGTGAAGCCTGCAGTCTAATTCAGGGAGTCTGCCACTGCACTCATATAGATATACTATATACAATGCACCCCTGCTATCATGGTAATGTACCTCTGTGTGCCACTGCTGTTCATATTGTATTTCATAAGCCCCACCTCCACCCCAAAAATCACCTGTGTAAAGCCCCTGTTCCCTTATGGTGAGAAGTTATTATCATCACCCCCTCCCTCCCCAGCTGTGCTGAGCTTGCTGTTTCCTTGTAGGGAGTAAAGAACTCAGAGCCTAGGCCCCAAACATTAACACTGTGCATAGTCTACATTCACACAATAATCTATTCCACATGAGTTGGCATTACTAAAGTAGAGTTACAAACTGCATCATTCATAGTCATAAAAGCAATAGCATAGCAAAACAAAATAATAATTTGACACTTACTGGTTCAGAAAAAGCACAGTCCCATATGATGGTGGCCAGAGCGTTGTTGTCTTGACTACCGTGAACAATGACCACCACCGGCAACGAGATCATCTATAATCAACGACATCATTTTAAGCTTGTTGACAGCCCTATTCCCACTAAGGAAATATACTGTGAATACAATTTAAATAATGTTTAATAGTTCCAAAAATTTAAATCATGTGTATAACCACATTGTTTTCAGCTCAATCTCTACTATAGCCGTTTTACAAATCAGGTGCTGACAAATATTATAGAACAGAAAGCAACTGTGTTGAATGTTATCACATCCTTATCACGAAGCCAGAAGATCTCATTTCATTAAGCAACAGGATGTCAGGACCATTTAAAGAACAGGAAGACAATGAATAATGTCAAACCTGTATCCTGTAGGGAGTGTCACAGCCTGTGATCGTGATCTCTGCTGAGAACAGAAGAGCAAACTTCTCCTCTGTCACAGACTCTGATCCCTTTCTGTCTGCTCTCTTGATCTTCTTGATGGACTGTTAAACCAAAATAAGTTTAAAAATTTGTTAAAAAGACAAAACGACAATCTAATTGAGGCTGAGACATCTAGAGGGGCACCTACCATATTCCTGAAGGTGGCACATGTGCTCTTGCTGGATGTGTTGTGCTCTAGGATGGCTGTGTTGTTGATCAGTTCTCCGACATTGTCACTGAAGGTAACAAAACAAAGAACCATAAATACAATAATTGCATTTATGGAACCAATCATGAAGTGTTATCTGTTATTTGGTTGTTTTATGTATTTAACAATTTAGACTTACAAGACACTGGCTGCTACATCACAAATACAATTGAAAAGATTATATTTACATAAAATAGATGTTTTATAATTAATAATACAGTCTTAGCCAGTCTTAGTCTTTTTTCAATAAATCATCATTAAAAAGCCACACATACATCTTTCTGCAACAAGAAGAAAAACAGCATTTTGAGTGGAGGGTCTTTGAGATTGCTTTGACTGTTTCCCTTTGCATCTAGCTGGTATAATTAACTAATTATTGTGTTGGAATAAATTGTGAGTTACTTGTTTTTAACCTTTAATTACAGTATAACCAAAATGATTAAAAGAACAAATTTGGCACCGAGGCATGTTTTTTTAACTGATTAGTATCGCAGATTTTACTCATGCACGGTGCAACCATCATCAACTCTCGTTTTTTCCTCCACATTGCTCTGTGTGTGTGAGAGAGAGTAGGATCAGCCTGCTGCAGAGTTTCATCGTGGGCAAGGTTGCCTGTGCTTGGAGGGTCAAGCATGTAGGCCTACATTGGATTGATTTTGATAACTTTAATGTACTTGAAGTGTGCACTGTGCAAAGTATCGGATCGGGAAGATACTCAAAATAAAATGACTCAGATCGGCCGGGGCTAAAACAACCTTGATGGGGACATCTCTATTCTTTGTACTACAGGTGAAAAGAAAGGACTAAATGTCATTATAAGCAATTAACTGATCCTCCCTGATAGTGTGCACTCCTCCATATTGTGCATTATTGTATGACTCACCCAGGTACACTGCCAAGGTTCCTGGCCTGCAGTTCATTAATGATTTGCGCTTTCAGCACCACAGGCTTTCCGGGAGCTACTTTCTCCCCAAGCAGATATCGCACAGTAGTGGAGAACTTTGACTGGGTTTTAATGACCTGAGGAGGCTGCTTCTCCACTACAAGAGAGCTAACGGAGAAAAAATAGTTACATGAGTGAAGAAACATGATTTCTGCGTTAAAAGAGAAATAATTAATGTTGCTCTTTGTGAGTAAAGCAGTAAATAAATTAACTTTATATATATATATATATATATAAACATTGTATATAATATATATATATATATATATAAGAAAACATTGTGACTGTGCCACCTTTGAATTAGAACCTGCAGAAGTTGTCTCAGCCTTTCCTGGAGCTCTGGGATCGGTTCTCCTATCAGCATCAATTCCTGCCTCAGTTTCCCGTTCACCCCAAGCAGCTGCTCACACCTAATAGAGAAAATATGTAAAGACAATGAGGGAGCAAGTAAAAGTCAAAGCACAAATACCAAAAGCCAGTAAAATATAAAAGTTTATGTAATCATTCATCCTGTCACACAATATGGTGTAAATCTTACTTAATAATACTACAAGGAGTTTTGAACTGGTTGTTAAACAGTCTCAATTTAAGATACCTCTTATCTGACCTACATAAACAAAGAGCCATCAGCAAGAAGATTAGCTATTCTCAATGCCTGCCAATGGAAGGAAAGGAAGGAAGGGCCACCAGAATGACCACAAAATGAAAATGTCCTTGTAGGGGTTTTAAGTGTTCTTTTGAAAACCTAAAACAAAGGATGACTGATTGAATAAATCTGATCTGAATTCCTTTCAGCCTCATGGCCATGACAAAATACTCAATAATGAAAATAATTATCAATATGTATATGTTTGTACCCTTGGAGAGCCATAAAGCTATAATAGTGTATGGCTACAACACTGTACAGCACTTAATGATAAGCTTAAGAAGAAGAAGAAGAAGAAGAAGATATACTTTATTGATCCCCTAGGGGGAAATTGTTTTTTTCACTCTTTTTTTTTATACACACACACACACACACAGGCTGAAATGCACACTT